GCCCCAACTGTGCAGGCCCCAACTGTGCAGGCCCCAACTGTGCAGGCCCCAACTGTGCAGGCACCAACTGTGCAGGCACCAACTGTGCAGGCCCCAACTGTGCAGGCCCCAACTGTGCAGGCCCCAACTGTGTCGTGCTTTGCCTTTAGTGTCCCATTACACTGCAGCTCTATTAACTCTATCTGCACATTTACACGTGCAGTTTCCACGTCTATGACAAGAAACAGCTCGAAATTTCATTTCTAGGCTTTAAAGTCACCAAGGCGTCGTGCAAGCTCGGGGCAAAGTAAGGCAAGTTGTTTTCAGCTACGTGTGCATTGGAACACCATAGTGTTGACTTAGATAGAATTGTACGCCTGCCAAGACGTCGCGGGCCCTGATATCATTTAAGGCGGGCTAGATGTGATCCTCGGGCCTTGAGTTTGACACATGTGCTAGAGGGGTAATGCTCATAAGAAAGCAAGTAAAAGAGGGGAGCAAGTGATGAATTATTTATGGAGGGTCTAAAATGTCATCCATTTTGAGCGTAAATCAAAAGGCCGGGGATTTGGGGGTCGGACATCAAAAAGACAGGGATTTTTTTTTTTATTTGTGGGGGGTGGGGGAGTCTGACATCAAAGGCAAGGGAATCGGATAAAATAATTTCCTGTCTGCTGACTTGTATCTTTCATATAGTAACATGGTCATAATTTTTATTCTTAGACTTTCATTAAAGTGATGTTTCACATACGTCTAGTGAGTTACATTGAAGTGATGTTTCACATTCATCTTGTGAGTTATATTTAAGGGATGTTTCAAATTCATTTTGTGGGTTACATATCATTTAATAGTATGTCTGAAATGATATGTTTCATATCTTAAATGGTATGTTTCATCTCTTAAATGGTATGTTTCATATCTTAAATGGTATGTTTCATATCTTAAATGGTATGTTTCATATCTTAAATGGTATGTTTCATATCTTAAATGGTATGTTTCATATCTTAAATGGTATGTTTCATATCTTAAATGGTAAGCTTAAAATCTTCAATGTTTTTTATTACCTTAAATGGTATGTTTCATATCTTAAATGTATGTTTCATATCTTTAATTGTATGTTTCATATCTTAAAAGTGTATGTTTAAAATCGTCAATTGTATTTTTATTACTTTAAATGGTTTGTTTCATATCTTAAATGATATGTTTCATATCTTAAATGGTATTTTTAATATCTTAAATAATATGTTTCATATCTGAAATGGTATGTTTTTTTTAAAAAATGGTATGTTTAACATCTTCAATGTTTTTTAATTACTTTAAATGGTATGTTTCATTTCTCAAATGGTATGTTTCATATCTTAAACAGTATGTTTAATAGTTGTACAAAAGTTTCCCCACCCATAGTAGTTTTCATCAAACAGTAGGACCCTCTTTACCTTCTCCCTCTTCCCCTTTCCCGGAAATTAAAGATAAGTCCTTTTGAAATGTGTACGTTTTTGATCATATGTGTTGGGTCGGAATTTGAAAGGAACAAATTAGCTGAATTGAAGCATAATAGGATCTTAAAAGCTTAAAACGATAATTCTCGTTTTGTGCAAGAAGATGATTTACCTGTTGTTGAAATCTTCAGAAGTAGAAGCTGGCTTAAATGCTGTCAGTGATGTTGGCATTGGTGCAGTTCTGTTTCAAGAAGATTACCACAGTGTAGATCACCCTGCCTCTTATTTCTCAAAGAAATTTAACTCCCATCAGAAAAACTATTCCACAGTAGAAAAAAGAATGTTTAGAATTTATTCTTGCTCTCCAACAATTTGATTTTTATGTCAGTTGTTTTTTTTTACATTCATTACTTATTTGTACTGATCACAATCCTTTAACATTTTTGAATAAGATGGTCTCCAAAAATCAAAGACTGTTAAGATGGAGCCTATTTTTACAAGAAAATAATTTGGACATCAAGCATATTAAAGGCAAAGATAATGTCATTGCAAATACTTTGTCCAGAAATTAATTTTCACCGTACATATAACTTATGTTATTGTTTATAAGCTGTTAAGAAGCTTCTTTGTCTAATATTTTGAAAGTAAGAAATGCACTTTCTTCAATTTTTAATGGAAAACGAAATCCATTTTTGAAAAATGAATTTTTTTTTCTTTTAAGTGGGGAGGTGTAATGTAGTACACTATTTTCCCCAGTGAACTTTGCTTGAACCCTAGCACACACTGCCCGTGTGGTCCATTCAAGCCTGTATGATACACAGCCCGTGTGGTCCATTCCACCCTGAATGATACACTGCCCGTGTGGTCCATTCAATCCTGAATGATACACTGTCCTTGTGGTCCATTCAATCCTGTATGATACACTGCCCGTGTGGTCCATTCAATCCTGAATGATACACTGTCCGTGTGGTCCATTCATTCCTGTATGATACACTGCCCGTGTGGTCCATTCAATCCTGAATGATACACTGTCCTTGTGGTCCATTCAATCCTGTATGATACACTGCCCGTGTGGTCCATTCAATCCTGAATGATACACTGTCCTTGTGGTCCATTCAATCCTGTATGATACACTGCCCGTGTGGTCCATTCAATCCTGTTTGATACACTGTCCATGTGGTCCATTCAATCCTGCATAATACACTCGCCGTGTGGTCAATACAAACCAAATGCGCCTTGCATGAAAAAACGGCGAAAAACGGCGATAGCAAAAAATAATTCCCAAAAGATGTCTCTTGTGAGACCAAAATATCAACGCTAAGATGATGGTAACTTTGTTTAACTTAAAGAAACCAAAGTGGATAACAGTTGGATGGTGCCATACAATCCATACCTGCCTCTGAACTACAACGCCCACAATAACGTGCCAAATTTCTAGCTGAATTCAAAGTGGTCAATTCTTCTTCAAATATATTTTGAAGGGGCATGACAGTGCAATTATTCACTTCTTCACTGTCCCCCTCCCCCGCTAAGAAATGGAAGCTACTATTAAATGGGACGAATTCAAATAACTACTTTCAAGCCCCATATTTAAGTGCACCTAAAGCATCCTGGAAACTCGGGGAATACAAAAATGCTCCACCAAACGTATAGTGTGGAAAGATTAAATATCCACCTCAGGGACAAGAATACAATATGTGTTATACCAGACAAAGAAACTAATGATGTACAGCAAAAATCGACCAAGTCCAAACGTCAGTCTTGGTTTAAACTATTTAAGCAAGTCAAGGGAAAAGTCTTATGGACTGACCAACCCACGAGGCAACTTAAAGAAAGACGACAGCGTTCACACCCCAAAAAAATGTGGTACTCCGAGACGCCCGATTATAATTAACCTGCATAGGCAGCCCGTCGCTTTAGCAACATGTTACAATGCAAAAGTCTGCCCCCCACTCCCCCCCCCTCTCCCGAGAGTAGAATGGGTACTTCAGCTAGTTCATTTCTTGATATTAAACTAAATTTCATTCATACATGCATCGTGGCATTTTTTAATGAAGCATTCAAAATTTCATAAATATTCATCTTTCCATTTATTTATTTATTTTTTAAATTTGTCTTTCTACCTATCACCC